CAGAGCTCCTCCCACCCAGATCTTGTACTCTTATCAGAGCTCCTCCCACCCAGATCTTGTACTCTTATCAGAGCTCCTCCCACCCAGATCTTGTACCCTTATCAGAGCTCCTCCCACCCAGATCTTGTAACCTTATCAGAGCTCCTCCCACCCAGATCTTGTACTCTTATCAGAGCTCCTCCCACCCAGATCTTGTACTCTTATCAGAGCTCCTCCCACCCAGATCTTGTACTCTTATCAGAGCTCCTCCCACCCAGATCTTGTACTCTTATCAGAGCTCCTCCCACCCAGATCTTGTACCCTTATCAGAGCTCCTCCCACCCAGATCTTGTACCCTTATCAGAGCTCCTCCCACCCAGATCTTGTACTCTTATCAGAGCTCCTCCCACCCAGATCTTGTACTCTTATCAGAGCTCCTCCCACCCGGATCTTGTACTCTCATCAGAGCTCCTCCCACCCAGATCTTGTACTCTTATCAGAGCTCCTCCCACCCAGATCTTGTACTCTTACCAGAGCTCCTCCCACCCAGATCTTGTACTCTGGTACTGGTAATACTAGTTACTGTACTTCTAGCACAGTAACTACTAGTACTGCTAGTGACGTGCAGGGCCCGATTTGCTTGTACTTGTACGATTGCGGAGATCTGCATGTACAATGTTATGTTTCTTAGATACTCTCCTGCAGATTACCAGCCTTTGTTTGTTGTTAGCTGTGGTCAATGTTAGGTTAAAGCAGCAGCTGCAGCGGCTGCTCTTTTTATTTACAGAGCTCTAATAATACTGCTGTTTTGATACTCCTTCAACACTATCATTTGCACTGCTTACTGCTATTTGGCGTCTAATAACATAACTACTTGCTCATTAAATAGATTCTAACTCGCATACGGTAAATACAAGGTAAGTAGATGTTATACTAATATATAAAGTTTGTTGCCAATTGAACTGGGTGAGTTCGTGGGATTATTTTCAGTAAAAATAAAAATGTTTACGTTTTATTTCTAAGCTTCGCTTATCGTAGCGATTAAGCGTTATTAAGAGTACCCATCGTAAATCAAGGCGGCGTTTAGTTTCCAAAGACTAACTACAATTCAGGGAATCGACCCGTCTCTTTTCTTACATTTTCGAGTTCGGTATAATGTAAAACTCAAAGGGTCCTAGACATCACAGCCTGCAGTTTATTGGGTCGGCCGGAACCGCATACTATTTCTCAATTGAAAGAATTTGATACGACTACTTAGGTACTTAGACTGCCGAAATTCTTAGTATAAAGTTTTCTAAGTTTTTCAGTTAAGCCCCGAGTTACCGTACCCCGATATACAATATACCATGCTTCTTCACTTCCCCCAAAATGTTGGAAAAATGTCTACATTTTTAGTTTGTTATCGGCTATCGCGTGATGTCAAGCGAGCTTGTCACTTGGCGATATAGAGAACGTTCTATTTTAACTTTCTATAATTCTAACTTTCTACAATTCTAACTTTCTATAATTCTAACTTTCTACAATTCTAACTTTCTACAATTCTAACTTTCTATAATTCTAACTTTCTATAATTCTAACTTTCTATAATTCTAACTTTCTATAATTCTAACTTTCTACAATTCTAACTTTCTACAATTCTAACTTTCTACAATTCTAACTTTATACAATTCTAATTTTATACAATTCTAACTTTTTACAATTCTAACTTTCTACAATTCTAACTTTCTACAATTCTAACTTTCTACAATTCTAACTTTATATAATTCTAACTTTCTACAATGTACAACCTATCGTGGTCAGGAGGACACAAAAGGTTAATTTCATTTTATTATTATTATATAAAACATGATCTTACCGACAAAAATTATTCATAAAAATACCTTAATGCGGTAAACTGTACCCTTGAAACAGATTTTCCCAATATCTTGGATATTTTTTCCGGCTCCGATAAAGTGGATATATAATGAATAAAAAGTGTCATGTAATTCGTATCAGACATATTAATCTGGTGCTTTTTAATTGAATTAGCTCGTTAAATTTCATTAAAATTGTCGTTAAGATCTGATTAACGAAGAGTTCATATTACATGGAACGTCAAATAATATCGATCACAATACACCATTGATAATATATCACAATATTCATTCGTCTCCGACTCATTCTAATAAGCTTTCTCTACTCCCACTTAATAAATACTCAGTTATCCTTCGTTTTTTTCCGTAAAAATTCTTTTCTCGGTCCATTCCACTGCAATTTAGTAGAATTAGAGAACTACTGTAAGCCTATGACAGGATAATCTCACTTCTTTAACCTCCTATATAATTCTTTCTTCAGTAATTCTTAAAAACTCAAATTCAGCTGTCAGCAAATTTTCTCGCGCTTACCGGCGGAGAACCTCGGAATTTTAATTGCAGTTCCCCGTGGTGTCTGCACATGCAGTTCATATGTGATCACATTAAAACTGTGCAGCTACTATCCGAGATGAAGTCCTGGTGAAATTCCCTGCCAGGGCAATTATCTAATGTGGCTAAGAGAATAACCTGTTAGTTTTGGTTGTAATGACTGCGACTATATAATATAGCGGGTAATTTTCAGTAGTGATCAACACCACGAAGTACAGGCCTACGTAAATTCTATTAATGCAACATTTAGTTGCTGTTTAGTTGCTGTTTAGTTGCTGTTTAGTTGTTGTTTAGTTGCTGTTTAGTTGCTGTTTAGTTGCTGTGCTTTAACGTGTTCCACAGCTGCTGGACAACTTCTATGCAGTTATTATTATTTAGGTCAATAAAAATTATCAGCTTTGTTCTTGGACAGTTTTTATTGAACCAATTTTGACAGCATTACTTTTCCTTTACAGTTGCACTCACCTAATTTGTAATTTTACCACACTTTTACTCTCAGTAATTTACAGCAGCAACTCTCAATTCTGTGACAATTGATAAATCCCATGTTGGCATGTATAACTTAGATCGAAACTAAAACACGCATTACATTGATACAATACCTTAGATTTAAACCTACACACGCATTATAATTATTGTTATATTGATACACAATACACAAGCCTAAACTCAGTTTTAGTTGATGTGTAAGCACACGCATTCCAATATATTACACACAATACCTTTTGTCAGCTAACGTTAGTCGAACATATTGTTTCACAATGTTGAGTCACTTGAGAGTTGAAATAAAGTAGCGACCTCGATTCAAAGTAAAACGTTTCAGTCTTTTGAATTTATTCACTCACCAGATTAATGTTACAGTATCTCAATCTTCAAACATGTTCATTGACATTATTTGATGAACAGGGTGTCCCTAGTTTCAGACTAACATCATACAAATGAGAACACCTCATTTCTCTCTAAACTCTAGCTTTCTTAACTTTGCAATCTTTCTCTTAATTATACTCATTATTCGAAAAGTACATTAGTTTTATCACGTTTTGAATGATGTGCAGTAGTTTCAGCTTGTTTTTAAATTATTTTTGTAATATGTAGACTGTAGAGCTCATCAGCCATTAAACATAGAATAAAAGCGGTGGGACCAACACTAATTGTTCGGTAAATTTGGGTGTAGAACTCGAAATTTTTAATAATCATAATTATTCGATCATCATGTTGTATTGAACAATAGCTCAGATATTAGAGACAATAGACATTTCAATTACAAATTATGACAAAGAAATTTTTGTTGGAGCCGGCCGTTGCAAGCCATTCCACTACAATTGAATCTTGAATTCAGGTCTTACTAAGTTTAGCCAGAACCTGCAGTTATCAGCTCGTAGGATAAGGACATTATGATATTTTACCTCTCACCACTCGGCCTTGAACGTGACTTTCACTTACAGCCATATAGTTAACAGTGAACTTAATACCAAAACAGCAGGGGGGGGGGGGGGGGGTACCAAAACAGCAGGGGGGGGGGGGGGGGAGTACCAAAACAGCAGGGGGGGGGGGGAAGTACCAAAACAGCAGGAGTGAAATATCTTCCTTTAATGAGGTCATGCAAGTCAGACACCTGTCTTCTTTCACAGAGACTTATATCTGACACGTTCTTAGACACCAAATTAACACTGCCATCTTGTGCTAAGAGGATCCTCCGACAGTTGACTGAGGTGACTTTGGCGTGAGCTTTGTTTAGTTTATATTTCAAAAGAGGTTTCTAGGTTTTATAGGTCTACAAATTGTACACCACCTTTATCAGTTCAGGAATTTCGTTCAGTAATTAAAATTACAACATACTGCATACCGTACAATTTTTGTAACGACTTGTTTAATATTTGATAGTTGATTTTATTGCTCTGTAAACGGGACCTTGATTTTTGTTGTGTCCAATTCATTTAAATATAGTTCCGTTTGCTCGCTTAAAATACAACCCATTTATCGTTGACGTTACCATGATCAATTACGAGTCGTTCTTTAATGAATGAATGAGAAACTACATGTATATTATATAAAAACAGTTATAAAACAGTTACCAAACAGTTACCAATATACAGATACCAAACAGTTACCAATATACAGATACCAAACAGTTACCAAGATACAGTTACCAAACACTTACCAAGATACAGATACCAAACAGTTACCAAGATACATATACCAAACATATATCAAACAGTTACCAAACAGTTACCAATATACAGATACCAAACAGTTACCAAGATACAGTTACTAAACAGTTACCAAGATACAGAAACCAAACATATATCAAATAGTTACCAAACAGTTACCAATATACAGATACCAAACAGTTACCAATATACAGATACCAAACAGTTACCAAGATACAGATACGAAACAGTTACAAAGATACAGATACCAAACAGTTACCAAGATACAGATACCAAACATATATCAAACAATTACCAAACAGTTACCAATATACAGATACCAAACAGTTACCAAGATACAGTTACCAAACAGTTACCAAGATACAGATACCAAACAGTTACCAAGATACAGATACCAAACAGTTACCAAGATACAGTTACCAAACAACCAGTAACCAGTCTTGTAACCAGAATATAGCAGGAGGTAACATGAGACCTCTGTGTTGTGGAGGAGGAACCAGAGGAATAGTCTAGGACAGAGAGGAGAGAAGTCTAGGGAAGAGAGGAGATGCATCCACACCATGAGTTGGAGGGTGACGCCGACAAAACTACAGGTGGGGAGCCTTTGTAACACTTTCACTTTCGTTCTCACAACACTGTCCCAATCTAGATGTACTTATTGTACCTTTTAGTTGAGTGCCGCATTTACCCAAACACGAAAATTATCATCATGCGATGCGGCGAATTGCGGTGAATTTTGAAGATTAATGCGGCAATAGTTTATAGTGGCCTATGTTGTTGCCGTGTGTGTGCTGTGTGTGGCCTATAATCTTACACAAGAGACTATAGAGTAACTCCTCGTCTTACAATGCAATCAATGTAGAATTAAGATAATATATTGTAAAATTATGTAAACATCACCTTTCAAACACAAAAGACATATGCGTTATACAATCTTAGAGCATCATTAAAGTGAGACAATATAATGGTGGGAGCAGTGTGTTATTGTTAATTGTTAGAGCAACATCGTTCCCTTACACACCAATCTACCATTGCTTGGTATTTTTCAGTTTTATTTTGTTTTGTCAAAGGTTGATGAAGCTAATCCAGTATCGCAGCTTTGGATGTATCAGAGGTGCCATTTGTTTCGGGATGTTTTCCAAAATATGCCGAGCTACAAATATCCAAATTCCAAAATAGAAAAAAAAATCATTCGGCATGTGGTAAATTTTGTGAAAATGGCAAATCGTGTGATCACGCCACAACTTAATGGTACCTCTGAAACGAATTAATTAACTTACACCGCATAGATTTTTCTATGCTGATATTTGTATAGTACCAGTTACAACGATTGACAGTCTTCTTTAATAAATACCTATGCAGAGCCTATCATTTAATATTAAACCGCACATTTTTGCCATTCCCAGTTATCCAAAAGATAAGGAAACTGAAGACGGCCCGAAAACGAGGGGTTCTACCCCCAATACCCACACTGAGATATTTCGGTATAACCCTGAGAGAGCCCCGGACCCTGCAAATCATCCATCCTACACCTGAGGCCTACTCATTGGTAAGCATTCAATTGTCTTGATTCTAAATATACTTTCTGTGGTATATAATTATGTGTTGGTTAAGGAAGAATATTTTATCTAAAACAGTAGGACCTTTACTGATAGTTGAAATTCGACATATGACGTCATCTAGCGTCATCTAGCGTCATCTAGCGTGAAATATCGCCAGATGATGATAGATGACGCTAGATGACGCTAGATGACGCTAGATGACGCCAATTAGCGACATTGTCGCTAAGTGCACGGCACCTTTCGAATGTCGCTATCTAGCGCTATCTAGCGCTATCTAGCGCTATCTAGCGCTATATGACGCTATATGACGCTATATGACGCTATATGACGCTAGATGACGCTAGATGACGCTAAGCACGCAGCACTGACGCCAGGCGACAGATAGCGCTATTTTCATAAAATTTCCGCCCTTTTTTTTGCGACATCTAGCGGTATCTAGCGCTATCTAACGCTATATGTCGCAACGACATCTGACGCAGCGCTATCTAGCGCTATCTAGCGCTATCTGGCGCTATCTAGCGGAGAATGTCGGTTTGTGACAGTTTACGCTAGATAGCGCTATCTAGCGCTATCTAGCGCTAGATATCGCGGCGACAGCTAGCGCTAGATAGCGCTATCTAGCGTAAACTGTCACAAACCGACATTCTCCGCTAGATAACGCTTGTTAGCGCTAGATAGCGCTATCTAGCGGAGAATATCGGTTTGTGACAGTTAACGCTAGATAGCGCTAGATAGCGCTATCTAGCGCTAGATATCGCGGCGACAGCTATAGCTATGGCTATAGTTGTTAAACGTTAAATATCTAACGTTGGTTATAGGTTTTATTTTTAACGTTGCAAAACGTTTATTATTTGACGTTAGATCAAGGTTACCTTATTAACTATAAGCAGGGTTTAAAATTCAACTACATTTTAAAGTTGTATGTAGGTTACATATAAAACGTTGTTAAACGTTAAATATCTAACGTTGGTTATAGGTTTTATTTTTAACGTTGCAAAACGTTTATTATTTTACGTTAGATCAAGGTTACCTTATCAACTATAAGCAACGTTCAAAACTCAACTAAATTTTAACGTTGTATGTAGGTTACATATAAAAACTTTGCAGGCTGGTATAGGCTTAGACTAATATTTTGAGAAAAAGCGGCGCGTGATAGTAAATTACGAGTATCACCCGTTAACGAGTGAGATTCGTCCAGTATAACCTGTTTATGCTCTAACCATAGCCCTCTCGCTAGTAGTACGCTTAGACACATGGCTATGTGAAAGAAGATGATGTAAAGATCTAAATGTTAAATTAGCATTTGCAAATTAATAGTATTGAAATCTCGCACAGCAAGTTATTAAAAGAATGTAATGAGAGTCGAGCCGAATTTATTGTTCAGTAATCACATATATGAATATCGTACCCATACCACAAGTTTTCAGTTTACGAACTACGCGCAAGTGTGAAGTGCAAGCGCGAAAGCTTTAGTGCAATTTTGGTTGACGATGTCAACCCATCGAGATCGTTGCTCTGCGAAGCAGAGCAACGATCGACGATGCGAAGCAAGAATGCTAGTTCGCGCGGCGCGTCGAAGCGGCGAAGTCCTCCAAGTGCAATTTAGCTACGAAAATACCAAAACCCTTAAAATGCGATGCATTCAGTATTTAGAATTAGAATTAATATATTATAAATTTATAAGTTATGTCAATCCTCTTACCTGGGGACCCAGGCTATTATGTACATGTTCATAAACATTAAGATTTGGCGAATAAAGATTTGGCGGAATGACAGGCTGAGCGCGGCCCAGTAACAATCCTCGGGATCGGAATTATTTTGGATAAATACTTTACAGCTTCGAGTAATCTATTTGACGATGTTTGTTGTTATGTAGCGCGATGCACTACTGGGCCGCGCCGCGCAGCCAATAATACATATAATTAATGCTTCTTGCAACCACTAGTGCTTTACTAAACATACTTGGTCAAATGGTCAGTACGTTACTGTATGTACGAACTTTTAAAAGGTGTCGAACTGTACAAATTTTAAAAAGCTATCGAGGAATTTTTACCGAATTTTTAAAAAAATTTTGTTTTTTAATCAGTAATCACTTCAGTCCGAAAAATTTGTTATTTTTGTCCGGGAGGTTACATTTCAGATTTAAAATATTAATATGCATCCGCACGTCACCGTTTCCCGCCATTTTAACACAAATTTTTGCAATTAGCTTTTTATTATATATTTCGAAAATTTATGAGGCGAATTTTTCCCAAACTAATCCCGAACTGAAAAAATGTGCCGAACTGTACGAATTTTTTACGACTTTTGTACGAACTGACCAACTATGTTACTAAATTGGCGATATGCACCATGACTCAGACTGGGCCTCGCCGAGCTGTGAACATGAACAGTGAAGGATTGACATCGTGAATCAACGCGATGCGTTACTGTGAGTGTGTCGCGCCGCGCATCCAAAAATGCTTCTCGGTATCCAATAATGCTTTTCGGCGAAATGCACCACTGAGCTGTGAAAGATTGGCATCATCAATCATGAATCAACGATGATAGTAACTTGTATAAATTTCGTCGAAATAGTACGTGCCGCTTTCTTCCGATCCCGAAATGTTAAGGGTCGACGGTCGTTTACATATCAGTATTACGTAATCAGCTGAGGAGGTTGGGGTTTTCAAATGATTATTGATTACACTAGTGTAATATTGACATAAATATAATAGCTATGGTAAAACTGATTACGGGGTATGTGAACGACCCCTCATTGTTAGTAATCAGTTCCATACATAGCTATTAAGCTATTAGTATTATGTCACAATCACACTAGCGAGCGTAATAATTTGGAAAACCCCGGCCGGCGGCATCAGGCCCTTTATATAATTATAATATGTAAACGACCCCTTGATTAAGTGATATTTAATATTTTGTTCCACTCAGCCGAATATTTGATAAATCGAGTGTTACTGGGCCGCGCTCAGCCTGTCATTCCGCCAAATCTTTATTCGTTATGTTGTTAATGAACATAATAGCCTGGGGTCCTCAGGTAAATCGAGTGTAATAGTTGGGTGACTTCGACGAGCCGCGCAAGCTTATAGTTATATCATTTGCATTCTCACTTAAATTATAATTAATTTTCATACACAGTAAAAATTAATTTTCATATAAAATAAAAATAACAAAAAAGATTGGGTGGGAAAAGACACACACACACACACACACACACACACACACACACACACACACACACACACACACACACACACACACACACACACACACACACACACACACACACACACACACACACACACACACACACACACACACACACACACACACACACACACACACACACACACACACACACACACACACACACACACACACACACACACACACACACACACACACACACACACACACACACACACACACACACACCCACACACACACACACACACACACACACACACACACACACACACACACACACACACACACACACACACACACACACACACACACACACACACAAACACACACACACACACACACACACACACACACACACACACACACACACACACACACACACACACACAGAGTGTTAGGATTACTGTTACTGTGATAGGATATGATATCTTGTGCTATATGTAGCGACGACATCTGACGCAGCGACATATAGCGCTAGATAGCGAAATCTAGCGCTAAATAGCCAGGACTGTCACGACCCAAAATTCTTCGCTATTTAGCGCTATCTAACGCTATTTAGCGCTATCTAACGCTATCTAGCGCTATATGTCGCAACGACATCTGACGCTATATAGCGCTATCTGGCGCTATATAGCGCTAGATAGCGTGAACTGTCGTAAACTGACTTATCCCGCTATCCAGCGCTTGATGTCGCCTGCGTCAGATGTCGTCGCGACAGATGTCGTCAGATGACGTCAGATATCGCTAGATGGCGTCAGATAGCGTCAGATGTCGCGGCAACATATGACGCTAGATGACGCTAGATGTCGTCCCTAGAATTTTTATGAAAATAGCGCTATCTGTCGCCTGGCGTCAGTGCTGCGTGCTTAGCGTCATCTAGCGTCATCTAGCGTCATATAGCGTCATATAGCGTCATATAGCGTCATATAGCGCTAGATAGCGCTAGATAGCGCTAGATAGCGCTAGATAGCGACATTCGAAAGGTGCCGTGCACTTAGCGACAATGTCGCTAATTGGCGTCATCTAGCGTCATCTAGCGTCATCTAGCGTCATCTATCATCATCTGGCGATATTTCACGCTAGATGACGCTAGATGACGCTAGATGACGTCATATGTCGAATTTCAACTATCAGTAAAGGTCCAAACAGTATTGTAATTTGTATCATATTCTGACTGTAATCAACGTCCAAACTTACGATCAATTGTAAAGAAGTATTTTCGTAGCTATTCAAATGTAAGCGAGAACCAATGACTACATTCCACAAATACCAGAAACACGTTACACAACACCAACCCCCCCCCCCCCCCCCAGATTGTGAGTGTGATCAAGTCAGTTTGGAAGCCAGGAATTGCGCAGATAAAAAATGATTACGACCAAGAAGTGTGCATTATAAAACTGAACGGCTCCCCTTTCTGGTTCTCATTCAGCAACGAGTTTGCTTTGCAGGTATTACAAACACTTTCCGCTTGTGCAATTCACTGATACAGATGAAAACTTGGCCATGACCCAACATTTCCTTGTTCAATAGTTTATCAAAAAATTCCAACAAGGTCCACTATACAATATTGAAACTGATAGACAGACTGGACAAGAAAGGCTACCAACTAATATTAGCTACAGATGTTGCTCGCTACTTTGAGTTGAGCACTCTATTCTTCACCGAGAAGCCCCCCAAAGGTATGTTTACTGGATTCTTGGAGTAATGATTTAGTATGCTCTTAAAACCTGAGAGTCGAGGAGGTGGGGTTTCATTGTCCCCAAAAAAGTGGCATGTAGGTACAAGACTTATAATCTTATTTCTGAAATGAAATAGGAGTACATACTTTTGAATTTAGGACTGAACGACTTCAATAAATCTATTTTAACTCTTTCATAACGGAATAAAACTTCAAAGGAACCTGAAAATTAACGACGTTAACATTCATTCGAGTAACCAATGGTTACTAACCATAATTGATTTACAATATTGAGCGATCGACATGCGAGATATAAAGCTTATTAGTATTACTTTGTTATAGCGTTTTAGCTGACATGTCAAACTCATTGGCGATTGAGATGTTTCTTCTTTCCCTCTTCTTCCTTGCTTCATCTTTCGGTCTGGTCTCCGCACACGAAGGAAACTCAACAGATATAGCCCTTGGAATGCGCCCTAATTCAAAAGGAATTGTTCTGGACACTTGCCAAGCTCTAAAAGAAGAAGCTCAGGAGATACGACAGGAGGGATACTCCGCTATCGACAAAGCAGATATCATAAGGGAGCAAGCATATCGTGTGAAAGATGAGGCATATGGCCTGAAGGACGAGGCTTACGACATCAAGGAGAGTGCTTTAGAGGCGAGGTCTGTGTTGGAGACGACCCTGTTGGAGACTCTGGTCCTTATGAGGAGTCAGGCTACTGCTACTAACTTGTACATTCAGGAGATTAGAACTACCTTGAGCTCTGTAACCACCCGGATAGGTAAATTGGAGCAAGGACAGGGACAAATCAAAGTAGAATTTGGAGCTGTAAAACAAGGCCAGGGGCAGATATCTCGAGACCTGGTAGCTATGAAACAAGGACAGGATCAGATAAAATAAAAAGAGTCGTACACCCTGAGCTCCTTAACAAGCAAAATGGACATGGTGGAAGAGGAGATCGAGGACCACATAGACGAAAAGACCGCATTGTTATCAGAAAAACTGTTGACAACCTTAGTCACAGTAGAGACAATACAAGATGAACAGAGGATTGGCAATGCTGACAAAGAATATAAGAGTGGTGAATTGATACCAGCTACCAGAGTGGAACAAAGTTCCACACACTCGAACTATAAAAGTTATGGTCCACAAAAGGCAGTTGATGGAGATATTGGTACAATGACTCACACTGGTAGTCCCCCTCTGGGACGGGAGTGGTTCAGGTATTACTTCGCAGAAGAGCGGGCTATTGGACAGATTACAGTGGTAAATGGACCTTGGAACCAGTATAAAACGAGGCTTAACGGAGCGAAAGTGTTTGTCATGGCAAATGATCTACACAGAAGTGCGTGTCGTTTCAACACAATCACTGTCCGAGAGGGAGCCAACTTGGAGGCTCAGACTTACTATCTCGACTGTACTGGAAACACAGGCATTGGAGTCGAGATTGTACTGGACAACAATTATCTGGAATTGAAAGAGATTGCAGTTTATGCGTCCTGAATCCTTGTTTTTTCATGAAAGTTTCCGGGCATCACAGGCTTCCATAAGGTGCCTGAATTAGTATGATTTGCATGTTTGCTTTGGATTGTAATTCATGACTACAAACCATAAAGCACAGAAACAAAAATGTGCAATTGTGAATTTTGTGTCAAAAAAAGTTCTTACATCTGTTCATAAAAAATCGTTTTGAATTTTTGAAACCATTTGTTAGAATGGTTTTTAAAATGACTGATTTTTTGGTGGCTGTAACATAAGATTGTTTTTATACAATTCCTTTATCTCATTCTATTTCTATTGTATAATCATTTTTAACTGGAATTATATTTGTGTACTCAATTTATGCTTCTGGATCCAAGACAATAAGTTTATTTGGCAGACCACACGGAAAGAGCATTAACTTATGACATGAAACCATGGCGACATCGAAAATTGTTGACCTCTAAACGAAATTCTAGCCAAATTTTGTCACTTAATTCATCGGGGGGCTCTTTAGTGCACCATTCCAACTACTTTTTCATTCCAGAGAAAACGAAAGCAGATCCTAACCGTCGTTCCCAGTATATGTCCGTTACAATTTCTCACAATAATCAGCTGCAGCTAGCAAACTGTTCACTCTCGAACAAGCTGGCTATTACTCAGCTCATCAACAACACCTGGCATTACGGCATCAACAAGGTGAGGGTCTTCATGTGCTATTAAGGGGAAATAATAGAGTTCTTAAATATTTATTGCTTGTGAAATTATCTTAAAATAGTATCAATGAAGATGCACTAGCAAGGTGGTTTAAAACAGCCGATTTGAAACTAGAATTTCATTGTTATTATCTATTGCAAAAATAATATCATTAATAATGGGAACCATAACGACCATAATGACCACATCACCAGGAGATATCACTGCCATCAGGCTACATAATAGTCCTAAACGGAGCACCGTGGAGCAACAAGAAGTTAGCTTTCTCAGCTAGGTCCCTGCTTCATCAGCTCACTTTACTGCTGACACAGCGGAGTTGGAATCTAATTACTTCCGCCAGAATAAAGAATCACAGGTTTGTCGGATACTAGGTTCATTAAATTTAATGATTATTTGGTTAATATAATACAATAATACCTGGGCTCTTGATATTATAATATTTCCAATTTCATGTGCGCGTATCGGCCGGGAAATAACGACAGAAAGGATTTTTTCTCAAAAGGGCGTTTATGGCTATAAACCTAATATTAAAATCACACAGCATACAATTCTCCTTCTCAAAAAAACATACTCTTACCGCTGAACATTAACTGGCTTAGAGGTCTGTACTGACAAACCTGTTAAATTCCAGGGATTCACTGATATTCCAATTTGAAGAAGCAGACGTATTTGACATAACTGCTCTTCACGCGACCTTTCTGTCCCTGTCTTTGAGTGAGAAGGATAAACTCAGGGTTATCCACTGTTCCGACAACAATCTTATACTGGATCTCAAGGATGTTAGTTTCTACAGATAAGATGACAATTCAAATTGCTAACCTGATTATCGAGATATATAACACTCTTTAAAGGTTCTATGAAAAAAAAATGTTCATCCCAATGGCAATAGAACGTTTTAAAGAAATACGACTAAAAACAACCCGGCAGATAATAATGAAGATCTGGAAGCCAGGTCTGATATCAGACTACAAAAAATCAGGGGGGCACGAGTTTGTTCTGGCAGAGAAACCCTGGTGGTGTGAAAGTACTGAAGCTATCAAGACAAGATACTTTATATGCGACATGTTGGAGTTGCTATACGCTAGGGTAATTGTTAATGGCATATTATTTTAGTGCCATTTCTCTGAATTTTAACCGAGCTAAGTTTCAGCATGGTATTGGTATAGTTATGTTGCTCGGTGGAGAGTTATCATACTTTTTGATTGCTAGTTTAAATCTGATAGTTAATAATGTGAATATTACCACATATCCAAACCTCAATTTTCAGGGTTTTAAGATTCACGCAGCAATAGAATGTCACCCTGATTTAATAGAAAAGCCGACTCTGACCTTCAAAAAGGGGCCAGCACGAAGGGTCAAAGTTGTGTGCATAAGCTTTGACGAGGTGAGCTGTAGGAAAAGAATGTTATTCCTATGAGCTTTATGAACATGCAATGTCTCCTAACTAGAACTTTTAGGCAAAAATGCAAATTATTAAATAGACGACTAAAAGCACGACTAAGATGCATCATGATGTACAAAATAGGTGTGTAGAAATTAATATGTTTAACACTCCTAATTTTCAGAACGATAAAATTCGGGTGATTAACGGATCTCAAATGTTCGTGAACGCCATAAGGAGCGTGTTAAGTAACAGGGTGGGAACAGAGGGAATATCCAAGGAGAGGGAGTTCCTCAAGTCAGTGGAGTTCACTCTCAGTGATCTCAATATGTGGGATGGTTAGTTGAGCGTTCAGGAATAGTGTTTGATTTTGTGTGATATCTATATGCTATAACGTGCCTTATGTTAATAATTCAGAGCTCATCGAATGTGAAGTATATTGGATGAAGTAAATTTAAAATGTTGGTTGGATTGCCGCTTGTTATAGAGAATTCCAACTCTGTTACTCAATCAATAACAAATATCTCAGGTAAAAACCGCCGTGATGCCCAGGTAGGTAAATCTATCTGCTGTCATATACTGCACAAGGTGGGGGAGCTGGGTTGGTGTGTTGTGTTGTCTGCAGACGCTACTTCGGCAGTAAAAGGTTATTTCTGGGCATTTATCATTCAACTTTCAAGATTCGTATCAATTTCATTAAGCGACCCACGTATGATGTAACATGGAGAATGGGAGATAGGAATGGGATTGGGAGATTGGGGAATGGGAGTCGCGTCGGGGAATGTTGATAGGGGATTATGAAACTTGGGGAATGGCGATGGCATAGGGGGTCAGTTTTCTCACCCTTTGAGTTGAGATCTCCACATAAACACAGTAGATGATCAATAATGGTAGCATCTTAGATATCTAAAACTTCACTAACCCTTTTGGTCCAGGGAACAACAACAGACACGACATTCCCATGGATGTGCACAGCTGGTACCTCATCCAGGCTCCAACGGTTAACAAAGCATTCCACAAACTACGGAAGAAGAAAGAAGTCCGTCCGAGGTATGTTACAATGATTGTTGACTTGTCAATTTATTTCACAAAGATTTCTTTCTTTCAAGTAACGTTACTGGACCAGACTGGTGTAACATAGCGACTACTCACACGTCGTCTTAGTTCACCTCTCTCTTCCGCACCCAACCACCACTTAAGCGTTCATCTATGACACACCCCACAACACTTATCATCATCCTTGATTACACATTTTGATTCCACCGGCATCCTCCCACAGGACTGCCATACCCCAGAGGTAGGCAAAGCATCCACATGCTATCCTCTCGTGGGCCACACAGGCCCAGCCTCTCTTAAAAAATTAAAAAAAAATTTTAAAAAAAGTAACGTTTGAAGAAATATTACCACCGTCTTGAGACAATTATAAAACCGGATCCAGGTCGGAGTCACTACCGGCCTGCTTGACGCCGCCCCATCTAAAACGCCGAGACAAAGTTGGAGAAAAAACGGAATCAACTGCGAATGAAATCGTTGTGAAAAATGAAAGGTCTGATTCATCACCGGCTTGCTTACCGAGTTTAGGAGAAGATATTGAGGAACCTGAAGAGGAAGAAAGAAGAATCCCTAACTCTATGATGGGCGTAGTGAAGTAAGAGGGGTTTAACGGCGGGTTGATCAGCTGACTGATTCAATATGGATACCGATCCCTGGGATATACACAGTTGATTACGGAATCTCTTGGATCTAGTTCAAGAAAATTTCCCAAATTTGTAAGAGGGGAATTATTTCTACTGACGATAATAATGTATCTGGTATACTCTGGCGAAGAAATGTTTTATTAATGTGCGGACGAAATTGAATTAAAAACTTGTGATGATCCTTAGATTAAGGGTGGTTTATTTATTATATTGTACCACTATATAGTATATAATACTATTATAATATATAGCCGATCAATAAATACGTTTATTCAGGAGAAATATTTCTATTCCTATTACTATAAGATATCCAAATCTGTGGAATTTAATCAACCAAAGTATCAAAAAAGTCAATATAGCAGTATCTCCCGACTCCAGAAGTTAATCCAGTATCTGAACAAACTGTTAATTTAACATTTCATCATAACAACCCACAAAAAATAACAACCCTCTTACTTGCAGAGATTCAGAAAACATGACAGAAGGAGGCGGAAGTGATGCCAACTCAGTAGCAAGTCTAGTTCTACAAGCAGAGGCTGCAGAGCTCCAACGAGTATCATCAGAGGTAGGACTCTCCACTCACTCCCACAGTTTCAAGGGTACGAGTGCTGGCAACTCTAATACAAGTCTCGAGAGCGAGGGAGACCTGAGCCCTTTTTCTGTTAACAATCGGCGGGTGTCTAACACAGAGACTTAAGGATTTCATCTAATTTATCAAATGCTCAATTTATTGATTCTAGGAACCTGCTCAGTTTGAATAGTTTGTGTACAGAATCTCGGTCCTGTGAAGCAGATGGCTCGTTAGATATGGACAAGGCAGGGTTCAAGGGATACTAGAGAATTGTCAGTTTAAAGTTTGCTTCTTTGAGTAATTCTGGTAGTGGTACAGAGATTATATCTTGATATTTTTATGGACTGAATAATGGGGTTAACCTTGTGCACTGATTGACGTTTACCTTATAATACATATATATAATTAACTTATAATTTAATTTACTGTAACAGCTATTTAATAAAGAATTGTTGTGACTAATATTATACGGAGAATGTGATCTGACAATTGTACATTTATCTGTTTATTAGTTCTATGATGGAGATAAATTCTGTCAGCGGTATAATTTTAATTAAATAATTGATAGACAAAACTTTGTAGTTCCTGTAAAAAATAAATTAATCTTAAAAACATTTTCCACAGATTAAAACAGCTTATACCCTGACAAAAAATGGAGCACCATCCTGGAAAAATCGAACATGAAAATAATCAGCACACTTCAAATTTTAAGGAGAAGTTTACAGCGACTCAAAAATAATTGATGATACATAATTCAAGGAGGAGGCCCGGTAGGGAGCATCAATTTGCTAATTTCACTAATACGTGTACATAAAATTTTCCCAATTTCCCAATAGCATATACGTGCTTTACATCCCCAATACCTAGTTCAAAGTTCATAGTCCAACACCAAGCCTTTAAATTCGATGTAGCCCAAAAAAGCTGCGTTGTTGTATGTAGAAAACTGACGGTTAAAGTAGAAGAGTACTGCAGTCCGGCGTCGAGTAATAATGTTATTTAGAAAATCTGTTTTACCGGATCTCAGAGTCATGATTTGTGCTCCTGCTCACTCTCCTTAGATTCGGCTGAAAGAAATAATATCATTAGGTATTAATCTAGATTATGAGCATTTTCAGGGAGCCAGTTTCTAATGTTTTTTATGTGCTCCACAACTAAACACACGCTGGACGCCGAGCTTAACAGGTACAGGTATATGGAAACAGCCAAAAGCTGGTATTCAGCCAATGTCCATATATGGTGGGTATGGAAACACTAGATTTCGATTGGGCAAGGAAATTGTGCGGTCGTACCTCGATTAGATATTCATAGGTCATGAAGCAGACTATAAAGCCCCATAATACGATTGCTGAGTTAGTGACTGCTCTGCGAGTCCAGGCGGCTTCTGAAATATTAGATCGTCCAAGAATGAATGATAGTGGTTCATAAAGCAGCGATGTTCAAACAAATTTGTTTGCGAAATGGATGCTATTTGTTTACAAAACTTGGACTGGATCTAGAGATTTGCTAGTATGAGTCAGTCTTGCATCTGGTTTTGTTTCATAAATCAGTAAAATAGCTCGCTTGAAGTATGAACCATATCTCTTCTTCCCTGAGCCACCTAATGCCGCACTTCTGACAACTATAAATGCCTTACGAAGCAATTTAAGCAATGGTACATAAAGGCATAAACTTAAAAGCAGACATTGCCGTCCTGGCGTCAATCTTACGCTTTATGATGTCAAAATATGATGATGATAGAGAAATGCTTAGGCCCAAAGCAAATACTTTTTCAACCTGCTATTTTTGAAAAATATAAATGGAAACAATTCCAAATTTTGTAGCCATTCAATACGTCTGAATACGAATTAAGATTAATTGAAAAGTTAAATAATAATAATTTGGAAAATTCACCTGACTCCTCCGTAGAAGTCGATTCTTCGCGTTCAGTTTCCTTTTCAGAGTTGGTTTCATGTGTGGTGTTTTCTTTTATTTCATCATCTTTTTTATCCGTAGTTTCGTCAGAAGTCGAAGATTCGCTTTCTGAGTTTGAGCTCGTTGATGCACCTGTGAAAATATATTTACTTCATATTTTTGAAGCTTAACAATCTCATACATCACGTCTTGTGCGATTTCTAGCCCCTCTTTCTACCCAAATATTTTGGGCTTTGACACAGCTATATTTAACACCATCTGTATTTAACAAATTTTCAGTAGCCAATTCGAGCGAAATAAATGTCAAACTAACTGTACTGAGACTCTTCGTAGGCTGATCCACCGAGGGATTTTATAAGTTCGTTAGGATTGTCCAGTTTTCCGTCAAAAGCTCGAAGTAGCAACTTCTGTTGGGTTGACAGGTTCCTGGAGAGAGTATCTTATTAAACTTACCTGTAATATGCCAAAGAGAAACTAGGAGAAAATATTCGCACAGTCATCTTTTCAATGGAAAATTTGTCATCAATACCCTTACGAACCTGCAAAATGGTCTAACAAGTATAGGTTAAAGAGAAAAGGTAGAGGGTAAACAGTACCTGGGAAGAGTAACGTTGATCTTGAGAACGTGGTTACCCACACCTCGGTATGTGATTTTATCGCTGATACCTTTCCCAACCAGCCGTAACGAGCCTCCTGGGGATTAGCATTGAATAAACTTAAACTTATGAATCGTTATTGGACACAAATTTCTGAACGCCTAAAATTATATAAGTTCAGGTGGAGAAATTCTAGAACATTTGAGTACCAAGATTAGTGGGATATAATTTGGCTGAATCCTGCATAAATCACGGACCAAATTAGTTTTGTTTTAGAACAATCTAGTCCCAAAAAAAGTTCGATTTATACGAAGCTGATGAAGTTATAAATCTGTTTCAGATATTCAGATATTCCAAAATTAAATCGTTTATTAAAGAATAGGAGTAGATTAAATTAGAAACGTTTATTAAAGAAAAGGAGCAGATTAAATTATTACAAACCTGGTTGAGTGTCAGCTGGGATCTTAACATCTATCCGGCCGGAGAGTCCAGTTACTGTCTGTATTCCTCCCAAGATCGCCTGTATAAAACATTTAAGATGATGATCATTTAAAATGAGCCCTTAAAATGGCAATTAAGCATTAAAAAACAATGAACTTTATTCTTATTCTTCTAAGGATCTTCTGTATAAAGTTATTTTGAGTGTGGTAAAATGATTAACAGTTGGAAGGATCTAGAACAGAGGTTCTGGAAACATAATTGATACGGCATGAAACTGTTGTTTCAGAAGCTTTCATATTAGATTAGGTTTATAACAAGCTTATGTGAAAGCCAAAACAATTTCCTTGGCAACAATTTATTTAAAAAAGTATCTTCAAAGCACCTTTTTGAGTATATAAAATGGCCTACGAAACATTGAAATCGAACTAGGAAAGCAAAAACGTAAGTGCTGCTTGACTGACTAATTTCAACTTCAGAGATATACGCCCAGATAAGACAGTAAGATGAGCTAGTATTGAAAGACGACACCGATATAAAATAAGGTAGTTTTTTGTTGTCACAAAACATACGGTTAGACATTAAGTTTAGTTAGTCGAGGATACCAAATATCGGCCGAAAATTCCTGTATTGCTCAGGTCAGTAGATAATTGATGAAAAAAAGAAATGAATGTGCTGTTCAGATGGGAAAAGTATGAAGGGTCATAAATATGCTAGAATGCATTTGAAGGTTGCAAAAACAGAAAAAATTTGGCATCCTAATTTTTCGTTGCCTGCTTTGGCTTAAAAACCATCCGTAATAGAGGCAGGTATGATAGATGTCTTATAAAGTAGCAAATAATTAGTCAAAATCATTGAAATCATTATAAACAGTACATTTATTTTCTTCAAATTAAAAATATGTAGAACTTACCGTGGCCATGTCGACATCGACTGTACTTATAACGTCCAGATCTTTTCTGGAGAACAGCGGACTTTGTTCAACCTGGAAATGAGCATTAGCTTATTAAGTTATTAGTGTCACTATCTTTTAAAAAAGCAAATGTATAGGTTGATTAAAGAATCTCAAAAATGCCTCTGGACAACCCGATTCTTGAGAAAAACATAAATGGCGGAGTAAAAACCTGCACAGCGATTCCGATATCAGTGCCTCCTTTCGTGCGATACCGTACTGTTGTGCCGTCGGTAATTCCTGAAAAACAAGCCCTTCATAAATCAACGGGAATAACTGTACGGAAATATGAAAACTTCCTTTTTTGGATTTGATACTCTTCTTACTTGGTGATCTGAATCACTCAGCAAGATTAAACTAAGCAATAATTGAAAAGAAAACTGTATTATGTGTGTCCTACCGGAAGGGATATTAATCTGGGCCTCCTCCGAAACAGTTGACGTTCCCTTGCCGTGACAAGACTTGCACTTCTGAGTGATTATCTGACCCTCTCCGTTGCACGTGGGACATTCTTGTTGCACGTGGTACCAACCCACCTGACTCACCACCTAGGAGAGGAAACTTGTATCAGAAATTAAAACGTGACAATTCAGCAGAGGATATTTAATTCAAAGTTTCATAGAATTATTAAAGCGTAGGTTGACAGCACAAAAGTGTACGCAATAAATCAGCTCATAACAACTAAGTGTTAAATAATGCGGGAGAGAGAAGAGAAGCACAAAACTGTTAGTAACTTACATTTCCAGTACCATGACAGCGGTGACAGTTTCTAAGTCCTGAGCCAGGTTCCCCCTTTCTACCCTGGCACCTGGTACACGTGACCGGGTAGCTGAGGGTCACGTTCCTACTCGTTCCGTTACAAGACTCCAGAAAACTGATGTTCATCTGGTACTGTAAAAGTAGGGTATTTGTGAGAAAACGGACATGAAGTTCTCTTAACATTGGTTAAAATAATCTAAAAGTTACAAATTTGAGTTAATCACATGCTCAATTAGTCGAGATAAGATGAGGTTAGTTTACCCTGGTTCTAGTTTGGTTCTGAGCTTGCTGACCCTGACCACTTGGATCGGCACCAAATATTGATTCGAAGTCAAAGTTTCCTCCAAACGCTTGTCTGAATAGGTCTTCTGGGTTGACCTGGATAGTTTTCAAAATAACCCTTTAAGAAGCATAACAAAAATGCAGTAATAGTTTAGAGAGAACTTAGAGGGGTAGAGAATCATGGACTCGTCTCACCCAAAAATCTTTTCTTCTTCTCTTAGAGTTCTCATGTCTGTACCAATCTTTCTTCCATTCTTTTAACTTCACTCTCTTAAATTCTTCAAGTGATACTCTCTGTTTTCGGGTACGATGTGGTTTCTTTTTCCTACTAGATTTAGATTTAGTCCAATTTTGTTGCTTATTGCGTACCTTAGTTTGGTAGTTGTAGGAGTAGTTGGATCCTCCGAAGGGGTTACCACCTCCACCTCCACCTCCAGCATAGGGGTTCCTTGCTCCACTGCCGAATTGGTCGTATTCAGTACGCTTGGTTTCATCACCCAGAACCTGAAAACGAATACACAGTGTTCATTTCAGAAAAACAATAACAATCTACATTATAACGTTTAAGACCATGCAATTCGTTCTAAAATATATAAAAGAGATATTTACAGATTAACAGCAAACTGTACTAACCTCGTAAGCTTCACTGATTTCTTTAAACTTTTCAGCTGAATCTTTGTCTTTTGCCACATCTGGATGATGCTTTTTTGCCAACTGAAAATAACCAATTGTTTACATCTGCGAGGCGATCGAATTAAGTTATTGATCTTAAGAACGATTAATTGGCAACGGTTATAGTACATACATGATACATGCCAAAAAACTAGATAAATGCCCATTTATCAGTCAGTACAGAGTCTAATCAAATCGATCAAAATCCAGAAATATTTGCACGTGCGCGCGGTATGTAAGAAAACAACATGACCGCCGCTTACATTTTAGTACGATTCGATCATTCTCGAATTTGAACGTGCCCCAGACTGTGTCACAAAACTTATAATTCGCTGATCGACTACGCAGTACGAACCCAACAATAATCAACACGATGCCAAATGTGCAATTGATTTCCACGGACCAAATTGCCAACCAGCAAGTCAAAGGAAGAATAGGTTACTGTGATAGAAGCCTGGTAACAACAGAACAAAACACATCTTAGCGATTTTGATGCTGCTAAATCCACCTAGAACAAAATTTAAATCGAAGAATTATTGAACCTGCGAATTAAAATCGAATTGCAATGTCTAACAACAAATTTTAAACGGTAAAATTATAAAATTAAATATACAAATTAAATATTTGGATACATTTCATCCTTATCAATTAAAGCCGTGTGGTGTTTGGTGACAAACTTTTTGGTTAATCCGATAGACGTTATGAATGGAGCTTTGTACTAACGCTACAATGTATTAACGCTAATATACAATGTTACCCAATGTTACGTAATTTGGCTCGATATAAAAACTGCAATTTAGCATGATATGATCCATTCGATGCCAATGGGGTGATAGGAAATCAGATATCATGCGATAAAGCGCACCCATCTTCCTATCTTAATTAATATCCGTTTAGAAGAATGCAGCCAAACAAATTGAGAGATAAGAAGATTTACAGCACCCAATCACAGCCGCTACCATTTCAAACCTCCCAATCATCTGGCCATAAAACGGAACAGTCAGGAAACTCGATAACATGGGATCGTATGACAGTAAATAACCTTTTTAACAGGACGTAACTGTGGTAAACACTAAACAATGCTCGTACTACTCGCTCATCTTATCTCTTTACCATTTCATCGGTCATACCGTAAGTTCTCCCTTCGCGTACGTACGATTTAAATTGATAACTGGTGTTTTGATAAAAAGTTGTTTTAAAGTTTTTGCATTTAAGCACGCCCGTCGTTTTGCCTGTCTTGGATTTGTCTTCGGTACAATGAGTGTGCAGATTTTTGAAAACGAGAGCAGTGCAAGCGATTTCGAAGAAGATGGAGATCCGCATGGAATCGTTATCAGCAATAAAAAACGGGGATCAATATTTGATGGAAAAATAGGATCAATCTTCGAAGGAAAAAGAGGGTCAATATTTGACGGTAAAAGACCATCGTTATTTGATGGTAAAAGACCATCAATTTTTCAGCTCGAAGGCAAAAGAGGGTCAATATTTCAGCTCGAGGGTAAAAGTCCGATTAGAAGTCCCATATTATGCGACTACGAAAACAAGAAACGAGGATCCATTTTCCAGCTATTTGACGATCCTTACAGGTTTTTATAATTGTAACATTAATTGATTTTTAATCGATTACATTAAATTTAATCGATACATGAACGGAGAATCGTTGGTAAAATGAACGATAACAATTCGAAAAGTTATACAGAGTTATAGAGAATTACGATGAACTGGTTGAAAATGGGTTATAAATTGGTGGAGGGGGGAGGGGCTTGGTAATAAATCAACCAACAACTTGAACCATTTCAGAGGAGAGGAACCCATAACACTCAGGTTGGAGAGCTACGTAAAAAAAGTAAAAGCGCCAAAAAGGGCGTCACATTCAAAGAGCTATCCAGGTTGGAAACACAGCAGCTGAGAAAACAGATATTATACCAGGGAGAATACAGGGTTCTCAACATGTCCGTCCTGTTCATTCTCGGGGTAATTGTATTCGGGATAGTGTTCATGTCAGCGTGGCATTACACCAATCAGAACTTCTGGGTGTTGTACCTGGTTTTAGGACTCATGATGGGCGCTGTAGGGGTCAACTTGGCGGCGATTAAGCTGTATTTTCATTATAAGAGGTTTCATCGAGGGAAAGGAGTCAAGGACATGATCATTGAGAATTTTGGGTTTTCAGACGATATCGTGGCAGATGTTAGTCCGAAGGAAGTTGAGGTTGTAGTTAAGGATATACAACAAGAGGAGGTTTGATACGAAAGATTTCGAACAGTTACGAAAATGAGTTTTTCGGACAGTACGATATCAGCTAAACGTGCTCGAGCCACATTTTGAACTGAACTGATCAATTATTTTAACCGTGCATCTTTTTTTCAGTCAGATAATCTTCATTAGTCTTCATTAGTTATGCGATATATTTTTATTAGTTCTGGGATATATTTTATAGTCTTAAGCAAAGACCATGGAGTAACTGAGTATAGCTGTTCAGCTATAATCAGTTACTTCAAAGCGTAACTGTAGTGTATTATGAGCGTAGCAAATCCTTTCCGACCTGGCATAGAGCCTCATCTAGATATTATAGAATATAGATCCAAAAAGTATTACAAAATATGATACAAATATTACCTGATAATAAGATTTCTTAATATCAGATGATGCAGCTTTTTTATCAACACCTAACACTTTGTAGTAATCTTTTTGAAACTGCAAATCTGAAAAGGAAAAGTGTGCATTAGTTTAGATCCTCAACAAACGAACAAAAATTTGATTCTTCAATTTATTGGTTTGTTTTATTTCGACTCATCCCCTCCGTAAAGTATGAGCTTACCGAAGTGCTAATTAACTGATGAAGGATCTATATCATGTTAATTTGCATGCTCATAAAAAGCTTACTTGTGGTATGAAGGTTCCTAGTGCTGAGTCCACCCCTCTTGATTGTGTTAAAACGTTCACCTGTCAATGTCAATACTTAGGACTTGGCCATTTTAACATTAATGAACGAAGTCAAGTCTTTAATTGAGTCCAAACCGATTTGGAAATGCTCAGGTATGAAACATAGAAACTATACAGTCTGTAATGTGTTGCAAAAACGTAGCTCTGTCTTACTGATAACAACTATGTAGATAAAATCCTAAAAATGTTAATATGTACTACCTGAGCATGTCACAAGACAGGGCGATGACGTCACGACACCATGTGATGACGTCACAGATTGTATACACTTGTAGGCAGACCTGCCCACGTGTCGAGATAAGAACATCACGTGATTTCTTACGTCATCATAACGTCATACCCTGTCAGCTAAAGTAAACAGCGTTGAATTAGAAATATGAAATATTTTGATGAACAACAGTCTTGTCTAACTGTCTAAAAAGTTAGCAAATGTTTTGATTTCTCCATCAATAGTATAAATATAATACCTGTGTTATTTATGATTGGCCATGAACTGATATGTGATCTGTACTGGGTAGTCAGGTAGTGGGTAAATACACTAATACAACATGTTCTCACTCCATCAGATACAATCCAGTTTATCTTATCTTTTGTCAGTAAAAGTGAAAACAAATGATTAAATAAACATTAAATTAATGCCTTAATATGACACAAATACAATATGGCTGACAAAAATAACTTATAAATTACTATACAGTACGAAAATAATATATTAAATATACACACTTAAAATTGAAGCTATATATACAGTTTCTGATATTTGACGAAAGGGTGATGGGATTTCTACAGAGGTTACAAAATGCAAAATATTTAAACTCTAAATAAAAAACCATAAACACAGCATATTGCAATGTCACAATAATATGACAGATTATACACTAATTTCACTAGAGTTTCACTAGAGTTCCACTAGTTTCACTAGAGTTCCACTAGTTTCACTAGAGTTCCACTAGTTTCACTAGAGTTCCACTAGTTTCACTAGAGTTCCACTAGAGTTCCACTAGTTCCACTAGAGTTTCACTAGTTTCACTAGAGTTTCACTAGTTTCACTAGAGTTCCACTAGTTTCACTAGAGTTCCACTAGTTTTCACTAGAGTTCCACTAGACTTCCACTAGAGTTCCACTAGAGTTCCACTAGTTTCACTAGAGTTCCACTAGAGTTCCACTAGTTTCACTAGAGTTCCACTAGAGTTCCACTAGAGTTCCACTAGAGTTTCACTAGTTTCACTAGAGTTCCACTAGTTTCACTAGAGTTTCACTAGTTTCACTAGAGTTTCACTAGTTTCACTAGAGTTCCACTAGTTTCACTAGAGTTCCACTAGTTTTCACTAGAGTTCCACTAGACTTCCACTAGAGTTCCACTAGAGTTCCACTAGAGTTCCACTAGAGTTCCACTAGAGTTCCACTAGAGTTCCACTAGTTTCACTAGAGTTCCACTAGAGTTCCACTAGAGTTCCACTAGAGTTTCACTAGTTTCACTAGAGTTCCACTAGTTTCACTAGAGTTCCACTAGTTTCACTAGAGTTCCACTAGTTTCACTAGACTTCCACTAGAGTTCCACTAGTTCCACTAGTTCCACTAGAGCTCCACTAGAGTTCCACTAGAGTTCCACTAGAGTTCAACTAGTTTCACTAGAGTTCCACTAGAGTTTCACTAGAGTTCAATTAGTTTCACTAGAGTTCCACTAGAGTTTCACTAGAGTTCCACTAGAGTTCCACTAGAGTTCCACTAGAGTTCCACTGATTACAAACTACCCTGTAGGAGTGAACCTAGAGTGCAATATTTCCAATCCTCTCAGCTCTCTCAGCCTCTCCAACAAAACGGGACTGTTAGTGGCAAGTCGTGCCAGAGCTATTGCCGCATTCTGCTGGATTGCCAGTCCTTTGTCAGCTTTCGCGTGTTTCAGCATCGTGTCTACAACGTCTACTTCTTGTTTCTTACATACACCTTCTGTCAAAATATCAAGTGTAAAACTTTAATATTTGGTGTACTAACTGGGCCACTGTGACTGGGCCACTGTGACTGGGCCACTGTGACTGGGCCACTGTGACTGGGCCACTGTGACTTGGCCACTGTGACTGGGCCACTGTGAACCCTCTTACACTTACTGTCTACATGAAAATAAGGCTAAATCTGTTAGAATTACTGGAACGCCTCATTACCTTATTATCTTATTATCCTCCACAATTTAAACACTACATTATAAAATTAGTCACACTATAATATGCTAAATTAGTTAATTAATAGCTACATAATGCTATAACTCTAACTCACCGTCCTGGAAACAATGAGCGCAGCTCAGCGCAGCGTTGGAAAGTATTGCAGTTGCTGATTTGGAGGACTTGTCTGACACTGTGTTGCACTCAAGCAGATCCATCAGCTTTTCCAAGATCTTGTACTTTACCACCCATTTTCTCGCCTGTTGATGAAAGTCTCACGTTATGTAAAGTCGAAGGAAGAAAAGTTGATCGATCTGATAAATTGTCCGAACTTTAACCTGTATTCATTAGTTAGGCCATTTGGCCTAAAACTTTTGAATTTCCCGCTAATTTCTATACTATTATCTCTATTTAAAATTAACATAAGAGCAATTATTGTCCGCGTGATAACTAGCGTGGTCGTTAGTTGACTGTTTAATGTTATAACTATTATAAAAGCCGTTTTTATCATACTTGTTAGCATTGTCGTGCGATTCTAATGTATGCACATATTCTATACTCAATACACGAGTTTTTCGTAAGCAGTGTGACGTTATAAGTAGTGTGACGTCAAAAACCACACCACAAACTCGTAAATTATATAATACAAAGTATGTACCAGGATTTGCTATCTGATTTACTATTTACCATCTGATTTGATGTTGACAGTTCGAATTCTTCACATTTAACTTAACACATCAGTCAAATAAATGAAATTGCACTGTCACATTTTAGTAGCAGAGGTAGATCGCATTGATATTCTCTCCATTATTGCTTTAAAAGCTATTTTTATAACCTCTCTCGAAAGTTCTACTGAAACAAGCAGAATAGTTAAAGACCGTTATTTTAACTTCCAGTTCTATTTGCAGTGTTCTTGAACATTCTGTTAGACTTAACATCCAACCTAATTAAACATTATATATACTCTTCTTATCGCCATGCACTGTCGTTAAAAATTGTGATACTTTCCAATTTGTCATTCAATATGTTTTGTGATAATAAGCAACTGCTGTACCTCTCCGTAATAATTACTCAGTTTTCAGCTGTCTTGCGTCAGTCACGTTTTGCAAGCACTGAGTCTCGCAAAACATACAAAATATCGCGATTGGTAGCTTCGTTTTGATTGTCTAGCATTTTTTATGAAATAAATAGTTTAGTTCCGATCGTTTAGTACCGGCAAAGAAATGAGCACAATTAAAATGTCGGATGTATGTGTGGACTACATTGACTCAGAGCAGAGAGGAAGAAGTGGGTCTGTAATCAGTGCACGGCTAGCCCAGTCTGCTAATCCCATGATGTTGAGTCCTTCCAACGGAGCTGTGATCATACCACACACCCGGCGAGGATCAAGACGGGGGTCTCTCTTGCTGATAGATGGGAGGCGAGGCTCGTTGTTGCAAGTTCCGGGACAGCAAATGGAAATTAGGAGAGGATCGATTGTACAGTTCATTTGTGACGATTCTATCAGGTTTGGTTTTTGGTATTGCATATTTCTTTGTAGATGTGATTAACAACATTTTTTTAAACAAAAAACGCAAATGTTTGAGCGTTTGGTCTTTAAATTTAAGGCTCTTTTAAAGAGAAGGGTTACAGCGGGGAGGCGACCTAAAACCTGTTTCAAGACTACAGCTAACAACAGGTTTTCAGCAAACTGTACATTCAATATCCCGTAAATTGTTCAACGATTTTAACATTTCAGAGGGAATGAATCTAACGGACTGAACAAGAAATCAGTCTTCAGACAGCTCTCCCACCTGCAATCAGAGGAACTAGCTGAACAAATCCTCTACAAAGGTCAATACAGGCTCCTAAACGCTTCAGTGCTCTTCATCCTGTTCACCATCATATTCGGTATTGTCTTCATGTCTGTGTGGAGTTACCATGATTACGATCACCAGAGCACGTGGGTCCTGTTTGTGGTTCTGGGTGTGGTTTTAGTGGCTATCAGTGCTAATTTGATGGTATGTAAGTTGTATTTTATGTTGAAGAGATATAATGGCGGGTAGATTTGGTGGTGGTGGATCTTGGATGATGAGATCGTTTTCAATCAGATATTCAGATTTTACTCATGTGTCAAGGCAAGGGGAGATTATGGCTAGCGAGGATTTTTTTATGAAATTGTGTAGCAGATTCCAGATGTTACCTGAAACTTAAAAGATCTATAAAATCGAATGTAACCTTCGAATAATGTAATCCGTAACATATATAACATGTATAATGTTTATATTATAATAATGATAGATTACCTGAGGTGATTTGGCAGTTGTTCTTGCTAGTAACTTGACTGCTGTACTGAGATTATCTGACTGGAGGTCGGATTGACTTTTTATCACTTTGAGCAGGGAAGCAAACTGACCCTAGAAAAAAAGATTTGATTAAAATACCACGTGTTAGATACTTGTTCCGTTTAAAATAACATGATGATGCTTAAATGATGCTTGTTTTGTTTTTCTATGATCAGTTTATTTATAAAAGTTTGGATCATTAATTTAAAATTTACCTTAGTCCCCCGAGATGAAATGTATCATATCAACTATTGAAAAAACCTAAGGAAAACCTTCCCAACTTTTAACATGACAAAAAGGATGATAAAGTAACCTTGTCTTCAGCAAGAAGAGTATTAGGACACTTCTCCAACACTCTGTTCAGCAGTAGAGGAGCTTTCTTAAAGGTCGGGTTACCACACAACCCAACCAACTTCTCACTTATCTCCAATCCGTGGTCAGATAAGCTGGTGCTGTCGAGTGTAAAGTTCATTCCAGCAGCCAGTAGATCGTCAATCATAGACTCCTTCCCTTGTTTATGTAGGAAATCTGAGAGATTTCATTTCAAATGAAATTTAACAAAAGTTAGTATGAATGAATTTATTATTTTAAATTTGTGGGATGCTGTGTGTAACACTGTAACAGGTGCCCTTATCTGAACTCTAAAGTGAAATGCGAGAAAGAATATAAGAAAACCAACCCAACAGAGGCAAGAAGATTGTCCAGAAGGACTTGTCGAGCAATTTTCTTGCAACTGGTGTCATAGAGAGTCCAGACAATCCACCAATCCAAGTCTTTTGTTCAGCTATATCATCCTCAACGAGGCGTGGAATGTAGTTAGAAACACATTTAAGCATCTCTATAACCTCATTCTTGAATTTGACGAGGAATGCGTTGTTCCGGATTGCTCTCCCCAGAATTAAAACTGACATAGCTTTGGTTTCTTTCTCACTAAAACATGCAGCAAAGACTTGTCTCATTAACCCATCAGACCAGAATTCTAAAAAGCCATCCACAATTTCCTCTGAGTCCCAGAAGGTAAGTTTTTGCATTAACAAGAGGACAAGCATTCTATATTTTTCGTTTTTGGCGTGAAATACGAGACTGGCAGTTGGGTCAGAGTAAATCCAATGATGGAATGTTAATCTGTCATCACAAAGTATGCATTTAAGAATGTTGAACAAATTCACATGAAGGGCATGCTCCTTATGTTTCATCAGTTGGCTTTGTATAGCTTCTATCCCACCAAGAGCTCGGAAAAGTTGGATATTCATGGCTGATTGTTGTAGGCTTTTCAACAAAAGTTCAGAAGCTATGGTTGCTTCAAAGACTTTCTTTGAGCTCAGCTTAGATAAGAAGTGCTGAAATTCTTTTTTGTTTTCAGGGGTTACAGAATTTACAACTTCCGTGTTAGATGATTCAATAGCAAGCAAAATCTTGGCTTTTCCGAGGTAACTATTCACGGTAGAAGTACTGCTTTTGCAATTTTCAAGACACAGCTCCAAACATTCAACTGCTTCTTTATGACATTTCTTAGCAAGTAAAGCATTAGATTTCTGAATGTACCCCTTGACAAAATCATCCTCAATATACAAAGCTCTGTCACAAACTTCAATAGCTTTGTCAAAGTCTTTCATCTTAATATAACATTGAGCCTCGTTTGTATACAGTGAGACCTCCCATCCTGTAAGCTTAATGGCAATATCATATTCTGCAATTGCTTCTTTGTACCTTCCATTTTTAAAATGTTCATTTCCTTTTTCTCGACGTACTTTACTTTTCTCTTCTTTTCTCTTCCTATTTTCGTGTCGTCTGTTGGCATCCTCTTCTACTGCTCTCATAAACCCATCCTGATCAGATGGCGTGTCTGCAGGAAATCCACCAACTACACCCCCAGGGCCAGGGTCTGCTTCTGGAGGTTCATCTTTTAGTTTGTTAATACAGGACTTGCTGAAACCATCTCGAGTTTTATATCCCTCCTCCTCTTCCTCTTCCCAATCATTAGACAGTATGTTGTCTATCTTGTCTTGCGTTTCCTTCACAACATTCATGTCCTTTGACTGCAATAGAGTGACCAACTCTTGGGCTTTGTCAGCCTTCTTCAGGAACTCATCCAGCTCGTCTATAGTCTTGTTTGGCATCTTGAGGCTAAAAAATGAAGCTGATTATTTTAAATCTGTAAGATATGGTTAATCTTACAATCATTTATTTGAATTCTATTATACTTTTAACTTCATTTAACTATCAAATTGAAGCTAGGTTTCAAGAATCAAACACATAATTTTCACAGTTTAGATAAATAAAGTCTGAACTCTAAAGGATGGTAGATTTGTTCTGTTAAATTGGTTCTTGTGAATAGTAAAAAGACTGTCTGTATCAGTCACAGTCAAGTGGAAGTATGAAGTTGTATCCAAACCTTGAATCTGAATGTACAATATTAAATGTAATTTTCTCTCTAAATTCACACAAGTTTTGAAGCCTCTAAAATACTTTTCCCTTTCAAAGCCAAAGGTAAATCGGGGAATGAAACATAAATTACAAATACAGTTTAAGTAACAAATTAATCATAAATTCAAGTTTTAAAAATATTTGAAATAAGAGTCACTCAAAATTCATTCATGAATCTGAAACAGTCATATGAAATTTTCATAGTAGAAGTGTCTGTTTTTTGTAATATGAAAGTCTGAGCAAATTCCTTCTCTGAAATGCCGGCATATTTTATGTTGCCTGTAACTGCAACCATTATAGCTTTATTGTTGAATGCCTGAAAATGAGACAACACTTTATTTATCTCTCTAATCTATGGTTTCATAATTTAACAACTACTAATTTGTGCATTAGCATAACATTTCAAACCTGTGAAAGAAATGAGTGTATATTTCACAAACCTTTTCATTTATAGGTTGAGCATCCACGGAGTGAATGTTACACGTAGACATAGGTAAGTTACCAAGTAATTCAGAGATACCAGGTTTTCCTTTTGCAGTGTTGCCATTCCAAGTCAATATGGCCTCTGGCATGTACAAGTTGACCAATCCATGTGTGCCATGTCTCTAAGATAAGCTACATTCAAAAATGAAAATTGATGTTGGTGATAAAAGGTTTGGGCATAATCAATCAACTAGTTGGATTCATAATCGATAAAATGGATACTCAGCCAAACGATTAATAAAATAATTTTGTAACAGTTAAAAAAGCACATTACATACCTGTTTATCTAATTTTTCATAGTAAAGTTTCTGGAAGGCATCAGCAGTTTCATTGCATGTCACTATTTCTGCAGCTTTAGACATTGACTTCTAGAAAAGGTTCAAAAGTGAAAATTTGTTAATTCTGGACCATTATAGAATCTCACTAACTTAATCAGCTGAATTCTATACTTTTTGACTGAATAATAATACTAATAAATCTATACAAATCATATTAAATCAAAACATAATGATACATAAGAATTAAGATCATCACAAATTTTCATAAAAATATGCTAATGATTTAAGTTGTAACTCTTAAAGTCAATTTTAATAGGCTGGAAATTTCTAATAAGACTCACCAGCCCTAGTTCAAACTAATAAACTTCTTTGCTAGAAATGGGCGGAACCACAGAGAATTATTATGATTACTCTTGTTCTCCAAATATTTATCCCCTTCCATTCTATTTATCACCTCATCAGACATTTTCCAATGATGATGATCATTACAATTTCCTTTAAGGATACAATTATTCTTATATTCGTTCCAGTTTAATCTTAAAATTATCTACACTACAAGAATTTTTAACATACACTGGTAGGGCATTTCAAATTTGGTATTACTCTCTCAGAATCAGTTACACAATCGAAAAAATTACGGTTCCTTATTGTTGGCAAAATATCTGTAGTGAAACTTATCTGAGTGGCTGCATTAGAATATTTAAGAAAATTACTAAGAACAGACTTAAGACTGGTTTAAATAAAACTAGCTTAATGGATAGTGGATGACCAGCCTTGCATCTTTGAGTTCTGCAGTGTTAAGAGTTTGTAAGGCTTTCACGGTTTTGTTGATCATCAATGGTCCATCAATTTCCAAAACATTTGATCGATTTTACAGACCATACACACAGCCAGAGGCGGCTATTGAGGGCGTCAAGGCGTCCATGGATGCCCTAAAATTATTATCTAGTGGCTGGTGCTTGAAAATAGAAACAGTAATAGTATTCGGAAATATCTAATCGCGATATAAAGCTTTTTGATCTACTCAAACGTTCATGTGCAAGCGCACGCATGATCTTTGTGAAATCATGTTGTAGGGTATCCAATCCTTGTTTGGATGACTTAGCCACGCAGTTTTAACACACAGTTAATTGCAAACGGCTACAAAGCACATCATCGTATTAACGTACTGTTAATTTATAGGATCAGGGTGTCCAGGACACCCTGAAATTTGAACTATCTGTCGCCTGTTACACATTACATACAGGAAAAATTATAAAATTATTCAAACAATATACACATAATATAGCAATGACCCTATATAAAATCTACCTTTTAAGAATTAAAAAAGTTTCCTAAACAATCAAAAATTACCCTTGGCCTTGTGGCTCCAAGTTAAGATCTAGACTGTTTATATCAACAATGTTTTTTCTCGCACCTCTGTCTCCACGGAGAGAAATCACTGTTGTTCTTAGGATTTCAAAGCGAAGGCGCTTTCTAATGTATCCTACAGCATCCGAGTACCTCTGGCCAGTGTGGTACTCCATCTTACATACAGGAAAATGTATTCAGACCAGTCAAGTTCAGATTGTTCAGCTCTGACCATGCAACCCAAGTGATCAGAAAGGCTTTAACTAAATCGCTCGCCCAAAAATTTCACGTGACTTTGGTTTTTTTGGTTTTGCAGCCGTACAAAACGGTTTTACATAAGCCCTAATCCCAACCCTAACCCTAACCATAACCCCGAAGCTATCCATAATCTAAACCACAACCCTAACCCTAACCCTAACCAATCGAACTCACGTTTTACTAGCCTGTAAGTAAGTAAGTAAGTAAAGATTATGACATAACATCATCACAAGTGTCTACAAAATATCATTGCACTAAATAAAAAAATAATTTGAATAAATATATTTTTCCATCAACATTAATAATTTATCAAATTCAATTTTATTAATTAATAAAATCTAATACATTATCTATAAATAATTCATTAATACTTCCCAGTGGAATAAAGATTTATAAAACGCTTCTTTGCCACAAAAGGATGAAACCAAAGATATTCATTATGTGTCTCCTTATTGCTTAAATAACTGGGTCCTTCAATTTTCCCTAAAGCTTCATTTGAAACATTCCAAAAATAAAAATCATTTACACTGTTTTTAGAAATCATTTCTTTCTTAAATCCTTCCAATCTAACTTTAAAGCTTAAAACTGTCGAGCAGTTCTTGACATCTGAAGGAAGTTTGTTCCAAGAAAACAACAATTTCAAGAAAACAACAATTTTATTTAGTATCAATTAAAGCAAACATAAATATATTTTATATATAACTAGCAGGACCTTTTTACCAGATATCTTAGGGGACTTGGAGTAGCAAGAGAATGGATAGAAGGTATATACCTAATACAAAAATACGTCAAAAAGAATCCAGGGTGATACAGGATCGGAGAGTGCAGACCGTAAAGTTTACGCACCCACCCTTGCCTCCTAAATTCTTGGTTGGGTAGGCATTTATGCGAACTTGGTCGTTTATACTCCAAGTCCCTTAAATGTTAAAAATTAATAAAATTTATCTCAGGAGTTAACTTTATTCAACAATAATAATATCAATATCAATTTATCGCATAAATTTAACTATCGAATACAGGTTTGATTATCGAATATAGGTTCGATTATCAAATATAGGTTCGATCTGATATAAATTTGTAAAATAAAATAGGTAGCAAGGAAGTGAACCTGCTGATTTGAGATCTACCGTGATGACAGGTGAAAACTCAGAGGAGACACCTGCACCAAGCTTGGGTAACAATAGGACTGGATACAAGGCTCCACCGGCTTACAAGGAAGGTCGCTGCTATGAAGACTGGAGGTTGGACATTGATCTGTGGAGTGAGTTTACAGCTCTTCCCAAGAAGAGGAGGGCAAAGTTGCGTTTCTTTTGGAGCTGTATGAAGGAAAAGTCAAGAACCATGTTAGATCCTTGGGCAAGGAAGTGCTCATAGCTGAGGATGGCTTGGAGCAGATAATAGCTCGATTAGATAAGATCTACAAGGAAGACTCGTCACATATAGCATATAAAATATACTGTAAGTTCGAACAGTATGAAAGGCGCGATGAAATGAATCTGCAGAGTTATATATCTGAGTTCGAGAAGTTGTACGACGATCTGAAAAAGCACAAGATCAAGCTGCCAGAAGAAGTACTTGCATATAGAGTATTGAACAGTGCCAAGCTGGCACCAGAGAAAGTCGATCTTGCATTGGCAACTGTGAAGAGTATGACCTATGCAGAGATGGCAAAAACGATAGGGAAAATCTTCACACGACTCCCAAACACCGACAGTCAGCAACACGGAAGTGAAACTACTGTGATAAAGAGTGAGCCAGAAGAGTGTAACTTTACCTACAACAACAACTGGAGACGAGACTCTAGAGGAGGTTCAAGAGGTTCAGGGAGTTACAGTGGTCTGTACAGAAATAACCGAGGAACCAACAGAGGAACTTCATCTCCATATAATTCAGGAGATGCTAGAACCAGGTTCAATAGCGGCTGTTTTGAGTGTGGAGAAAAGGGCCATATTGTTCGTTTTTGTCCAAAGTATATTGTCCATTATCTACGTTCTGCTTTCGTAGTTTAAACAATAGTGAGTTCTAAATATACAGCTTTAAACCGATTAAGTATGAATGAATGAAATACCTGACAATCCGCACTCTTATAATCCAAAAGCATGAGTAACTCGTAGTGATGTATGATTTCTAGAAACTTTAAATTAAATTTGGCGCTCACAGGTCCTCATGAATATGTGATCGCCGCATAAGGTTCTGTAAATGCACAGGGCACCTTCAAGCTTAAATTATTCACCTTACTGAGGCAGTCAACCAACGCGCGGCTTTATTTTTATGATATGATATGTTTTGATTGTTATTAATAAATACCAAAATTTAAATTTGTTTTCCTAAAAAAATTTGTTTTCCTAAGAGGTGCTCAGTACTTCGCGGAGGAAGAAATGGAATCAGAGAACTCTGGAAGCGCCTACGTGACTCTGATGGTAGAAGAAACCACCTGCACCCTCATTCAGGAGAAGCCCGATTTCAGCTCCCTAGTGTTCGAGACACTATCGTGTGCAGTCATTGATTCTGGCTGCACAAAGACTGGTTGGAAGAAACTGGGTTGAACAGTATGCAGAAACATTGGG